GGTCTGTTGATTAATTGCTTTGTCTTAATTGTTATTGTAAATTAAATAATCGTATAGTGACTTTATTGCAACCCTGTACATATATTCTCCATATTACAAATATAATATTGATTTGTTTTTTACAACTGATTAATTCTTGATATATATATATATATATATATATATATATATATATATATATATATATATATAGTTACTTTCGAAAGTAACTCATATTTGATACAATAGTCGTTGATAAAAATGAACACGACACCGCCCTTTTCAAAATGATTGGATTTCTCCGTATCCTTGGAAACAAATATTATGTAGTAAATTTCAAAATAAGTTCTTCGAAACTTCGCTTGAAAATGAAAGAGCACTAGTGCTTTTAATTTAATTCTATAATTGAATTCGAAGTTTTTATTTTCTTAAATAAATCTTAAATCCTGTGTAGCGAAGGAACCATATTTTTAAATCAGTTAATTTATATCATATTGCAGAATCTCCGTCTCACTGAACAGAGAGATCTACTGTTAAATCCGCTATGTCAGACATACTGACCAACAATTGGTCAAGCCGAAATCGTACTTTTAAGCGAAACTTCTCGCGTCATAAATCTCCCGAATGTTTTCATATCTGCAGTATCTAAACCTAAATAAAACACTTGTTTAATGAAATATTTGTGAATTAAATTATTGAATTAATCCGATTTTTATCACTTTTATACGTTATTATTAATGTTTATATATATATATATATATATATATATATATATATATATATATATATATATATATAAGTTATGAAGAACTTGGTAATCCGTATGGGCAATCCCAAGGAGGATGAAATCCTGAGAGCTCAATGCAATTTTAATTTCATTTTTCGTTTCATTTCATTTTTGGAAGTGTTATCTGATAATCCGGCGTCCTTTAAAAGGGCTCTGGTGAAATAAATTATTATAATGGTACCTTAAAGTGGTCTGTTTTTCTTTTATATATATATATATATACATGGAACCATTAATCAGGTTCTGTTTTTTACTTATTTCTCTCAAGAAAAAAAAGACGACAGATTAGTCCGGATATAAAAGGCATATCTCTCCGCTGACATTTTGGTATATATATATATATATATATATATATATATATATATATATATATATATATATACCGTAAATTTACCCAGAAATGACAAGATTTCGTATAAAATATTTCGTTTTCGTTATTAATTAACAGAGGTTAATATGCCGCTAAATAGATTCAAGGAACCGTCGAATCGTTTGCTTTTGCTTATCCTTTTTTTTTCTCAAAAAAATGTCCTTTCCCTCTTTTCCTCTCTCCGTTCTCCTTCGATTTCTCTTTCTTCCTCTCTTCCTTCCTCTCTTCCTTCCTCCTTACTCTCCTACTTACTATTCTACTTACTTCTTACTCCTTACTCTTCTCACTCTTTACTCCTTACTCTTTACTCTTTGCTCTCCTTACTCCTTACTCTTCTTACTCTTTACTCCTTACTCTTCTTACTCTTTACTCCTTACTCTTTACTGCTTACTCTTATTACTCTTTACTCCTTACTTTTCTTACTCTTTACTCCTTACTCTTTACTCCTTACTCTTCTTACTCCTTACTCTTCTTACTCTTTACTCCTTACTCTTTACTCCTTACTCTTCTTACTCCTTACTCTTCTTACTCCTTACTCTTCTTACTCTTTACTCCTTACTCTTCTTACTCCTTACTCTTCTTATTCCTTACTCTTCTTACTCTTTACTCCTTACTCTTTACTCCTTACTCTTCTTACTCTTTACTCCTTACTCAACTTACTCTTTACTCCTTTCTTTTCTTACTCCTTAATCTACTAGTTACTACTTATTCCCCTATTTACCTTACTCCTTACAATCCTCCTTACTCTCTCTATTCTTTTAACATCTCTTTCAGTTACTTTTACTCTTTAACATTCTCTATTTCTTACCCACTCTTTCTTTTCCCTTTATTTTCTGTCACTCACTCTCTCTTCATCACTTTCTTTCCTCCTTTTTATCTCTCTGTTATTTCTTTCGCCCTCTCTTCCTTATTCTTTCTTTTTTCACATTTTCTTATTCTCTTTCTCTCTCGTTTAGATTTTCTTTCTGTCCATCTCGCTTTCTTTCTTCTACACTCCTGCTTCATTTCCCTTTCTTTCTTTATCTTTATTTCCCTCTGACATCCATTCTTATTCCTTTTTTCCCATTCGCTTTCTTACTTTCTGTTTTTCCCTATTTTAGTCTCTCTTTTTTTCCTCTCGCTCACATACTCACTTTCATTCTCTCTTTTTATCGCCCGCTTATTTTCTTTTTCGTTCACTTTCTCTCACTCATTTCTCTTTCACACCCTCTTATTCTGTCATTCTTCTCTTTTCTCTCTTTCGTTGTCTTCAACTTTTCTCTCTCTTACTTTCTTCCTTTCCTCCTCTCTTAACCTTTTTTCTTCTTTTCTCATCTCTTAATCTGTTTTCATTACTCTTTTTTCTCTCTTTCTCTTTCTCTTAATCTGTTTTATGTTTATTTTTCTTTCTCTTACTCTCTTTTTCTAAATGATTCTCTCTCTATCTCTCTCATACTCTCTCTCTCTCCCTAACCGCCTCTTTCTCTCTTCCTAAATGATTTTCTCTCAACCGCATATTGCTGTATTCCACTCAATTGGACTGTCACTATTTGCTTTCTTAAAGTGACTCATATCTCCGAAAATATATTGTCATGTCGAAATAGCAACGAGTCGCTATTTTTTAAAGTTATAACAATGTTTAGATTGCTTCTTCTTTTATATGCCTTGTCCCTTCAGGACGTAGGCGATCATGGCTCTCCATTTCTTCCTCTCCCTTGTAGATCTCAATACGTTTTGTCTTTTTGTTATTTCTCCCAGACCCTCTTCTGCTACCCACTTGCTTAACCCCGTTAAGCATGTCACGCGTTGCTTTCCCTTGTCCCTCTTTCCCTCTATCCGCCTTGTGAGTATCAGATTTTCCAAGCCATCCTTTCTTACGTGTTCCAGAAATTTCAGCTGCCTCTTTCTGATGTTAAGTATAAGTTTCCTCTTTGTTTGCCTCCTCTCCAAAACCTCATTGTTGCTCACATGTTCGATACATGGTATTCTTAGCATCCTTCTGTAGAAACATAATTCTGTTGGCTCGGGTTTCTTCTTCATCTTTGAGAAGACCGTCCAACATTCATTGCCGTAAAGGACTATAGATATCACGAAGCAGTTAAATACCGATTTCTATGTTACAAAAGAAATCCTTCTGTCTCGTAATAATCTGCCTAGCTTTTGGAATGCGTCTTTGGTCATCCCAGTACGTCTTCGGATCTCAGCGTCGCAATTACCGTCCACTCCCAGAACAATTCCCAGATATTTAAATTTCAGTACTTGCTGCCGGATGTAGTTTATCGTCTTACCTAGGACTATCTGGGTATATAATCTGGCTGATTTCATTTAGATTCTTTTCTTTTTCTTTATGTTTCCGTCGCATTTGTTATGAAATATCCCACATTATGTCAACAGAATAACTGCGAAGAATTGTGAAACCTGAAAGCAAATTTACTCTGGATAAACTAACGAATAAAACACTTTTTAAAAAATATTTTCGACTTATTTTTAAACATTTTCGTAAATTATTTTCTAATTTAATTAGATTAGCATTTTTAAAATCATAATTATCTTCAGCCTCGTTACGACGATCAGCTAATGTATTTAATAAGCTGTTTTGTAAAAGATACCTTTTGTGTTCATATAATCTTTTATTTAAATTCCTATGTCTTCTTGTATTTTATGCTTAGTCCTTTCTTCTCGCTCTCCTTCGCTACCTTCTATATCAGGTTTTGTAGTTTCTTTTCCGTGTCTCCTATCAGTACTGTATCATCTTCATATCATATTTTGTTAAGATTGTGGCCGCCATTGCTGAATCCTAGTAGGATTCCCAGCATTGATGCTTGGGCCGAAAACTGCCCATTTCTCCCTTACCAGTTTCGATTGATTTCCAAAGCTTCTGCCCTCACCGCTTTGGTGCGTGTGAATTATTCTCCAACCTTTGGGCTCTTACATACGATGGAGTAATGAATAGCAACTCAATTTCAGAAATTGGGAGAGCAGTGTTCGAATTCCAGGCGAGTTCAACTACCTTTAATCCATCTTTTATATCCATACAATAATATCATGGATTAAACATTTATCTATATAAATAGTCACGCCAAAACACACCACGCATTGCCTGAAAATTGCGTTCAAGCATGAAGCAGATTATCGTCGCTTGATTTTGATCGTAATTGCCACTTTTATACCATAAATTTATATGGCAGAAAGAGAAGACACTTTGCATGCGGATCGAGACAATTTTTAGTGAATAAACTGGGAAGCTTTTGCGATGCTGATTGGGGAAATTCAAAAGATCAAACCAGTATGATAGGGTACGTTTTTCACAGTATCACAAGGTACGGTTTTCACAATATCACAGGATACGGTTTTCTTGTTATCACAGAGTAGGTTTTCAGAGTATCACAGAATACGGTTCTCATAGTACTACAGGGTACGGTTCTCATGGTATCCCAGGTTACGGTTTTCAAAGTAAACAGGTTCCGGTTTTCATAGTATCACAGGGTACATTGTTCACATTATCACAGGGTACGGTTTTCCCAGTATCACAGGGTAAAGATTTCACAGTATCCAAGGGTACGGTTTTCACAGTATCACAAGGTACAGTTATCACATTATCACAGGGTACGGTTTTCCCATTATCAAAGGGTACGTTTTTTCACAGCATCACAAGTTACTACTTGTATTTCTGTGAAAAAAAAACAAAAAACATATGTGCTTATCTTCATGCTTAAAATATATCTAAATTTTCTGCTAATCTGAGAATTGTCATGCTTGTAAAATCCAGGTTAAAAACAAAAACAAAAACAAAAATAAAACAGTGTATCTTACGATCTGTAGAACAAAATGAATAAACATATCTCTCCGGTAAAATTGTTTTATTTCTTTTTAGCTACATCATTTCCATGTTATTATCACAAAGTTTCAGCCGATGTACTCTCCGGCCTTCGTCAGGTGCTTCTCGAACCTTCAGGGGTTTTCGAACTGAAACCTTTGTTTAATGTGCGGTGGTAGATTGCTATCGTCCTGTTGGACAGAACTACGGACGTATCGCTTAGTTCTTATTTAGTACTGATCAGTTATTGACCACCGTTTACACTGTATCTGAGAACACGGACGAATGATTGCACTCACAATTACCGTATCCCCAAATTCACGAGCTAATGCTTTTATTCACTAGGTTAACGTCTCTTGACTCTAGGCAGTGCGTACTTGGGCTCAGCATAAATATACCAAGCAAGAATTGAGCATAATAATAAAAAAAAAGAACAAGACGAGATACCCCTAGGCATGGTCAGCAGATCGGTAACAATCTACCGCCGTAGATTAAATAATGCTCTGAAGGTTAAAAACGCAAGGGTTTACTGGGAGTGAAAAAGGAGATAAATTTACTGAGGAGAAATGGCTATTAAAATTAAAGTATTTTGGAAGACATAAGAAAACGATTGGCGTAAGATTTAAATGTTTTTTTTTTAAAGATTGTAAGTGGTAGGAAAGTAAAAAGAAAACTGAAGAGAGATCGACATGCATGAATGCGAAAGAAGAAACTACTGGAAGAGAACATGCGGTTGCATCTGGCACGTTTAACAGTAAAACGACGAGACCTTATTCTCTATACTCGTTTTTAAAAAGCTGAAATTAACGCGGTCGTGGCACTGACAAGGAAAGATCATCAGAACAACTGCCATGGAAATAATTGTCGAAAAGACAGAGGAAAGCCACGCCAGGCCCGTGAGGACGTGACTGAAGTCGAGATGAGAGTTCAGGAACGATTACATTATCGACCCTTCTTTGGAATTTGTCAAGAATAACAAGGTACGTTGTACGAGCACCGGACTAAATATTGATGTAATATTTAATGCACAGGTGAATGGTTGCTTTATAAAAGTGCAACAACAGACTGACTAAAATCGAGATGCCAGGTTAGGATCGATTATATTGCTGACCCTTTTTTTGAATATTGTCAAGAATCACAAAATACATAGTGGGAGAATCAGACCATATATTGATGTAATATTCAATACAGGGGCGAATGGTTGATTTATAAATGTGCAACAAGAGTCTGACTAAAGTCGAGATGCCAGGTTAGGATCGATTATATTGCAGACACTTTTTTGAATATTGTCAAGAATCACGTGATACATAGTGGGCGAATCAGACCAAATATGGATGCAATATTCAATGCACGGACGACTTTAAAATAATCAAGGGTCGTACAAAAGCTTACAATGGTAAAAACCAAGTACCCAACAAGAAAACGCGTGCGCTTACGTAGACCAGCAGTTAACAAAGTGCCGAATTATTCTACATACTGTTTCCACAATTCTGAGTTTCATGTGGCTTATAATCGATAGGTGTGAATCTATTAGGATGTAACCTGGTGTGATTCCAGTGAGCCTGTCGCGTTTTCTATATCGACACACTTTATATATCTATTTCCGATAATGGACACTCTTTGGCTATACATATAACATTAAAACAATCTTAGTTATGCTTTTATCTTACGAAATAAAGGTAGCGCTCTGCTTAATAAAAATCTAGTCCTTTGGTGAGGTTACTAGAGTGACCTCTGCAGGGCGCCGGCCAGGGAGGTTGTATGTGTGTTGTAACCCATGGAAGGTTACTGAATAGAATACTCACACGAAGGTTGGTAATGAACGATAATACTTAGGACACGAACAACACATATAAGATTCGCCAGCGGTGCGTAGAAGTAGTCAACTGCTAGAAGTGAGTTAAGTGAATTCCACAATGACTGCAGGGTATATGCCAATCGTCTCACACGGTTAGATAGGATCCAAGGCCGAATTTAATGTTGGGTATCCCAGACCGTAGTTTCGGCGAAAAATTCCCTGCAGACACCGTATAAAACGGGGTCGGCTAGCTGTTCTCCGAGATGAGATTATTCCCTTCGATATAGCATCATCTGGGGATCGTCTCTGTTCGAAGGCAGATAATTTAACTAGCACAACTGGAAACGAATGTCCAAAGGCAGACCAACATACAGTATTTACTACTGTATTTATGTAAATGGTGACATTATCTTACATAAGTATTCTACAATAATATGATATAATTGCCCTCCTTTCAGCCAAACCTACAGAAGCCAACGGAACACGCGCTATTACATTTAGGGTCAGGTTGGCTGCAGGTGTTGCCGAAAGAGTGTTAATGTTAACAGCTAAATGCTTTTGGGGCTCAACTCTGGATTTTTCTCTGAAATTATTCCACTGAGTTTTCCTTTGTTTAGATATGGTCATACCAAAACATCCGCGATTTAAAAACAGGGTTTTCATTCCCCTAGATTGACTACCTTCCCGGATTGTCGAGCTGAATCTGCTTGAAACTGCTGGTTGGGAGGCGCCAGTGGTCCGCATTTGCCCTCTGGTCGTCTTGAAGCTAG